CGATCCCACCTCGCTGCTACTCGACGAGTAGGGCAACCAACTCGTCGAGTAGATCTTAAAACCAAATAAGATTTCATTTAATTCCGTACTTGAGAATCGGGGAATTACACGATGTAATTATATATATGTCTTAAAGGAATTTCATCGAACAGTTGGTGGGCAACGACTAAGCATTCCTTTGTTTCCTCAACAACACGCACACACGGATACAAAGTAGGATATGAGTAAAGGCCTATGTAATATGTTTTTTGTAAACGGAAACTGATAAACAGAAGAATAAGCAATTCACTTTATTTTTTGCTTTGATCCATTTTTACCTTTTTGATCCTCAATGAAAGTGAGAGGATAGTGAGGTTGGCTATGGCTCCAAAAGCAACATTGAAGGTAAATCTCATACCTCATCGAAGCCACATGTAGCCCAACACATGTCTTGAAAAATCCTCAATTGGCTTCATATCTCACTTCCCTCCCATTTAAGGGTCTGTAACATAAACATATGCATATATATAAACACAAGGTTAAACAAACAACCATAAAGACTGTTAGATCAAGCGTATAAAGAGAGAGAGAGAGAGATAGAGAGATAGAGAACTCGATGGTGTGGAACCGAATCTACGATAAAAAGCCTAGAAGAAGAAATAAAAAATCATGATAAGAGGGAGGGTTGAAGGGAGAACCAAGTCACGGATTGAAAAGAGATTATAAGCGCTTGAAAAGAAACAAAAGACTAACCATTAAGTTTTAGATCTGATTGACAAAATCTGAAGTTAACAGAACCCTAGATTTGCTTTGTTTCCAGGTGATGAGGCCCAAAAATTTGTTGTGGTGTACTGGTTTGCAATGAACATTGGGGGAGAAGGGGGAGTGTTGATCATTTAGCTGTGGGAGAGAAGGGGAGTGATACCGAACAGTGAGAGAGGACGAAATGTTATATAAAGTGTAGTTCATTTTGACCGACTCTTTGGCTGAAATTGAGGAATATTAATTCAAATTCTAATATCAATGATTGACCGGATAAGTTTTATATTTCCTGCGAGGCATAAAAGGTTTCTACATATTACATTATTGATTGCACCTCTTAAAATTCAGTAAAAAATGTTAAATACTTTTTAAGGTATATATATATATATATATATATATATATATATATATATATATATATATTATATATATATATATATATATATATATATATATATATATAACTCTTTGACTAAGTAAATATAATTATTTTTTTTTATTTTTTTTTGATTTTGTGTATTAAGTAATGCATATCCTGGTTACGTAATTGTTTTCTCTTTTTCTTTAGAAATATCACTCTGTTGAATACATCAAAACTTTCAAACTATAATATTAAAAAAGGGTCGGGTATTCATTGATCTGGTGGATACGTGTTTGGATTTGATAATTCAAAACCCTTAAGGTTATTGAAGCGAGTTGGCTCATGTTTTTAAATATTATAAATAGTTTGGATCAACGATGATTTGCTCTAAACCCACCTCATTGATGGGTGTAATCATGAGAAGATGGAGCACATTAATATTATGTTGAATTTTATTTGTTACATTCTTGAAGAAGACAAGTTCTCTATACAAAAATATTAGGGGTGTGCATGATGCGGTTTGGAGCGGTTTTAAGCCAAAACAGCAAACTGCACTGCATATGCGATTTGAATTAGGGTTGTACAATAAACCGCATAAACCGCACGCACCGCACCAAACCGTACCGTATAACACGGTTTAAACTACTAACGATGCGGTTTGCGGTTTGTGTTTTGTTAAACCACATTATGCGGTGCGTTTTATGGTTTACACTTACAAAATTGCGGTTTAATCCGCACCATATTGATAAAATCACTTAATGATTATCTATATATATATATATATATATATATATAATATATATATTTTAACGGGTATAATATTTTTTACTTCAATTCTTCCTAAATTAGTGGCATTATCTTAAGTTTTTGGAACCAAAGGGCTTTTAGCCCAACAGTATCCGGTGTTGCCCACCTCCTTGAGGTTAAGGGTTCAAGTCTTGTCGTGGAAGTAGGTGGATTTAAGATGTAGTTTAGAAGTATGTTAGATTTGACGTTTCAAAAAAATAATAAAAAAATCTTAAGTTTTGAAATGTAATAATATTTATTTAAATTTAATTAATTCAAAATTTAATACAGTGACCATTTTTTTTTTTTCACAATTTCATTTTCAACTTACGTTAAACAACCATTATTTTCATGGTCATTATGTTTTTGAAACTTATATATATATATATATAATATATTATATATATATATATATATATATATATATATATATATAATATATATATATATATATTGATAAGTAGTTAAACACCACAATTCTATGACCATCAAAATTTTTAATTACCACTTAATGAGCCGTTAGTGATGACCATGATAGTATTGTCATTAAATTTAAAGTAAATAAATAGTCAAATCGCAAAGCCGCATGTAAACCTCATAAACCACCCGTACAAAACCGCACCGTATAATGCAGTTTAGCAGGTTCGTGGGGCGGTTTGCAGTTTCTAAATAACTCAAACTGCATATGCGGTGCGATTTGCAGTTTTGGCTCTAAATCGCACTGCGCACACCCCTAGTTTAAGTTATTTAGAAACCACAAACCGTGCTGTGAACCTGCTAAACCGCATTATGTGTTGCGGTTTTGTGCAGGTGGTTTATGTGATTTACATGCGGTTTGACTGATTATTTATTTTAAATTTAATGATAGTACTCTCATTGTCATCACTAAAGGCTCAGTAAGTGGTAATTAAAAATTTTGATGGTCATAAAATGGTGGTGTTTAACTACTTCTCAATATATATAAGTTACCAAAACATAATGACCATTAAAATAATGGTCGTTAAATGTTAGATGAAAATGGATTTGTGACAAAAAAAAAAAAAAAGGGTCACTGCATTAACTTTTTGATTAATTAAATTTAAATGAATATTATTACATTTCAAAAACTTAAGATAATATCATTAATTTAGGATGAATTGAATTAATAAACGTTATACCTGTTAAAATATTTTTGTGTGTGTGTGTATAATGATTAAGTGATTTTATCAATGCGGTGCGGTTTAAACCGTAATTTTGTAAGCGTAAACCACAAACCGCACTGCATAATGGGGTTTAATAAAATACAAACCGCAAACCGATCGCGAGTGTTTTAAATCGTGTTATACAATGCAGTTTTGTGTGATTTGTGCGGTTTATTGCATACCCCTACTGAATATTAATACCAAGGTGAATCCAACAAAGATGTTAAGAAATTCATTGCCCATGGAGAAGTTCAAGCTTTTGTTGGAATTCGTTGATGTTCATAGGAGTTAAGTCCCTTCTTGGATGGATGACAAGACCAGAGAGGAAGTTCTTGCTTTAAATTGAGTTTAGACGATACTCAAATCAAGGTAGAGATTGTTAAATGTGACTTGAGCATTTTGAGCATTTTCATGGAGCATTTTGGTTCAATAAAGCACTTGGGACTCAATAAGTACTTAGAATTCAGTGGAGCATCTGAGAAAAGAACGGATCATATGATAAAGGAACGAATCATCTAAAGATGGAAATGGACCATCAGAGAAAGGAATGGATCATATGAAAAGGAATGGAGCATCTAGTGATGCTCCATGATGAAGATTCGCCACATTGCAAGTGGATGCGCCATCTAGGAGCTTGGATGTGCTACTTTGGAAGCATGTGCGACACCTTGGAAGTTAGATGCACCAACTTGAAGAGGATGCACCACTTTGGAAGCCTTATGCGCTATTATTTGTGTGATGTACCACACTTGGAGATGATGCGCCATCCCTTGCACAAAATGTGCCATCATTAAGCATGATGAATTATCTTAGTGCAAGGGTGCGCCATATGTGTTACTGATGAACTACTTATGTAATGATGTTCACTATGAGACTCGAGATTATTCGAGGATGCTTAAAAGTTGAAGATGCTCAAGTAATACAACATGATGTTTGATGCGTCACTAGTGTTCATGATGCACTACATGTGTATCATGATGCTCAACTATTGCTCATAGTGCCCTAACATGTATGTTGTTAATGCTCATGCGATGTATCTCATGCATTATGCTTTGAGAAGCTACTATATGGTGGATTGTGATTGTTTGATAACTTTCATTAACCTATGGTTTAATGGGTTTGGCCCATTAGGATTTTAGATATGATTCCTAATCTATAAATGCTAGTCATTTGAAAGTCTCTTGAATTATAAAGTGTATGTGAATCTCTATTTAATTTTACTTGTGAATTCAATTTGAAAACTCATAAATAAAGAATACTTCCTCCTGCCCATGAACGTAGGTAACCTTGTAAATAATGTGCCTTGTTTGCTTTGGTTTCGCACTTTATCCACGTTACTTCCTAACATATATCTTATCTCGCTTATCCATGTAATGTTAAACTATATTTAGAAGATGGTTTAGTTTTTAGGTTTGGTTTTTAAACAAAGAAATCATCCGTTACAAAAACAAATGTATTTCAAACTTTCTTCTCACCGAACGTTTCTGAAATCATGACCTTCATTCTATGATCAGGTGATGTCAAGTAGTTGATTGACTACCATCTCGCTCATAGATATCAAGTGGACTTGTAACCAACTCAATTGTTTAAGACCCAATTGCTTGAACTGCTTACAGAGTCAACTAATGACCCTTGAATCCAGCTCATTCTTAATTTCTTATGCCCTCTGTTAATATATACAATATATAGATGATATATTGGACCGTTGTTACGTACGGAAACTTAACTTAATTAATGATGAGCACTTGCATTCAAATTATACTAACCTCAAGATCATTATTATTAGTTTGGTTTAACCTCAGAAATATGTAATCAAAATCATTTAACCGGCATCATTTACGAAGTTTGCTAAAAAGATTACAACATACATATACCATTTAAACTCATTCGAGATCATTAACTGATTAAAGGAAACATAATAAATAGATAATTGCTTCTAAAATTTTAGTAAGATGTTTAGAATTTCGTCTTGTACAATATATAGTTTGTGCATCATCCATTCTAAAGAATGTTGCATCCTCCACCATCATGGGATGGTGGATGCCCATACACAAATTGTCCATATCCATTTTGACAAGGATTGTTACAATACATTATGGGAAAACCAATCGGTTTATCGGCTTCCTTCTCCTTCTTTTTGTACGGTCCAACACTTACAATATTAGCCACCCTTTGTTTCTTCCTTAAACAAGTTGCGATGGAAACGGGATCAACATCTCCAATCACAACTAACATCTCCTTCGCTAAATCTACCGATACCTCATTAACACCAGATAATTTAGTGACCGTTTTCAGTACATCCTTCCTGCATTTTTGACTATGCATGTTCACTTTCACCTTTATCTCCTATGTTTGTGCATGGACGAACACAATTATTTGGAGGGAAAATAAATGATAAAAGTTGGAAAGAAAGTGCCAAATGCAACAAAACATGGAAACATTACCTGAGCCATACTATGTACAGTAAATGATCCCGTAGATGAAGTTCAAATGCTCTTAAAATCTTGTGACATTTATACACCCATTCATACGCTTAGCACATCATCTTACCTAACAAATTGATTATGCATATGGAAAGACTTTTGACTCTTAAACAGTTGATATCGTAAGGACTTTGACTGAGGTATTTTATTTCGAGTTACATAAATGAAAAAGCATGTCAAATCAATGAATAATAACAAATTTTGGCATGTAAAATATGATATTTCTGTACAACCAAAATTACTGTGCAAATCAATTTTTTATAATAAACTTTTTTTATACAGACTTTTGAAAGTTAAGCAAAATATATATATATATATATATATATATATATATATATTATATATATATATATATATATATATATATATATATATATATATATATATATATATATATATATAAGGGACGGTTCACTTAAAATTAAAAAAAAATAAAGATCTTCAAATTCAATCTCAACCACATATCTCATTTACTGCTCTAATAATCCAGCGTATCAGCAACAACGGACTATACCTAATCATAAATGATTATATGACAGAAAGATAATAATATGGGATTATACATGTTTATATGTATATGCCAAATTATAAATGATTATACATATATGTCCGTTCATATATTGAGTAATAATAAATGATTATAACAGTTAGTGGCAGAAGAGGTGGTGGTGACGGAGGTAACGGTGGTATAAGTAACGGAGGTGACAGTGGCGAGGTCGGATGGTGACAGAGGTGGTGGTAGTGGTGGTGACAGTGGCGGCTATGGTGGTGGTGATGGTAACGGAGAAAGGAATGGGCGGTCTTGTATAATCATTTATGATTATATCAGGCATGCTGCACAGGTACACCGGAGGTTTAGAGCAGCAGATGTGAAAATACGTTGGCTGAAGTTGAATGTCAAGATCTATATTTTATTTTTAATTTCAACGGAACCTCTCTCTCTCTCTCTCTCTCTCTCTCTATATATATATATATATATATATATATATATATATATATATATATATATGTCTTGCTTAACTTTCAGAATTCTTTATAAAAAAAGTTTATTCTAAAAAAATTGATTTGTACAATAATTTTAGTTGTACAGAAATTTCACAGTTTTTTGCATGCCAAAATTTTATGAGCTTTCAATCGAGAACATTTCTTATTGTGAGAAAATTTAAAACAAGTTTAAACCTCACAATTATAAATAATTAGAAACTATTAAAAAACCTACTATCCAACACCACTTACTACCCAACCAACACCACCCCTCACCACCTTCTAACAACCACCCACCACTACCAACCACCCATTACTACAACCTACAACCCAGTACCACCACCCACGACCAACACCCATCACCAGTAGCTACCCCCAACACCCACAACCACCACCACAACAAATCATTACTAATAACTACCACAACCCACCACTCGTCTCTACCAACTATCATCACCGCATGTCACCACCACCCTACCCACCATCACCCCCACCCACCACCACCACCACCATCTCCACCATCAGCCATCAGCCATCACCTATCACCACCCACGTTCACCACCCACCACTGTACAAAACTCATCACCAAACACCACCTACCACCACCACTTGCCACAACCACCCTACATATCAACCACAAAACCATCGCCACCACCACCACAACCACCTATTATCACCACCACCTGCCTCCACAACCCATTACCACCATTCGCCACAACCACCCAACACCACTCGTCACCACCACCCACCAACATCATCACTACCTACCCCTATCACAGCTAAAACCACTAACCATCACCATCCACCACCCACCACCACCAGTACAACCCACCCATCACCCCAACTACCCTCCACATCCATCACCCATCACCATTATCCACCACCAACCGTCACCACCTACCGTTATTACCAATATCTGCCACCACCATCTACCACCACACATCAATACCACCCGCTACCACCACCCCATACATTACCCACTAAAACTACCAATACGTGCCACCACCACTCGCTATCACCAACCACCATCACCCAGCACTACAACCACCCGTCACACCCACTCACCACTACTTGCCACCACCACCCACCACCAAACAGCACCACACGCCGCCACCACCCATCAACACTTTCACCACCAACCCACCATAACCACCACCACCCTTCACCACCACCATCACCTTCAAGCAACCACCACCTACAACCATCAAGAAACAACTTTCACTTACGAAACCCATCACCCATAACCCACCACCACACGTTACCACCATATTTACCACATCTATCACGTACCACCACCCGTCTTCACCACGCGATCACCACTAGCTATCTGTAACCACCTACACCATAGGTGATTAAATACATATAATGTCATAAATCATGTTTGATTATATGTATTTGTTTACATAAATGACATGTGATTAAATAAATATATTAATATGTGATTATATGTATCTAATCACATAGGATTTACATAAACGATATTTGTTTTCAAGTTTTCCATTCAATACTTTTTCTCATGTATTTCATCATATCTGATTATATGTATTTAATAACATACGATTAACAAATATTTGTTTTCACATTTTTTATCCAGTCTCTTGTATAGAATCAACATATGATTATATGTATCTAATCACATATAATTTATATACGTAATATCCTTTTTTCTCCATACAAATCATATGTGATTAGATACATATAATCATATGTGATTAGATGTATTTAATAATATATGATTAAAACTGAAAAAGAACAATTATTGAATCGAGACCACGATAATGAATCTTGTCCTGAAAATTTGATGTTTGTAGACAACTTAGGGAAGAGTGTATTTCAAATTGATTCATTTAATGGAATAGACAAAACATGCTTGTGTGGCATTTTCATCTTGAACATGTTAACAAGAAGCGCATCCCCTAACTCCAAAAGGATAAAGTGATAGAAGCATTTAACTTAAGGTCAGATGATACGTGCGAATACTCTTTACTTGAAAAGATGACAAAGTCACCTTTCACTGGTTCTTGTTAAAAAGGTGAAGGATTGTTGGATCTCATACACACTGATGTGTGTGGGCCCTTCAGATCCACCACAAGGGATGCAAATCGATTCTACGTGACTTTTACTAATGATTATAGCAGATATGGCTATATCTACTTAACCAAACACAAGTCAGAAACCTTTGAAAAGTTAAAAGATTTAAACAAGAAGTTGAGAATCAATCAGGCAGGAAGATAAAGATGCTTGGATCTGACAGAGGCGGTAAGTATCTTTTTATCGAGTGTCACGACTACCTTAAGGAATGTGGAATAGTTTCACAGTTGACTCCTCCTAGAACACCACAACTTAATGGTGTGGCTGAGAGGCGTAATCGGAACTTGTTGGATATGGTTCATTGCATAATGAGTCATTCACTTCCAATATCTTTCTCGGGGTATGTCTTAGAGACTATTGCTCGTATTCTTAATCTTGTGCCAACAAAAAAGGTTGCCAAAATACCTCACGAGATGTGGATAGGGAAAGTTCCCTCGTTAGAACATATCAAGGTTTTGGGTTATGAAGCTTGCGTTAGATGAGAGACTCACGACAAGCTTGAACCTTGAAGTGAGAGATGTATTTAATGGGTTTTATGTACTCTAATATTCCTATGGTGTACATACAACCCTAATGCTTTGGATCTAAGTTTTCTATAATTATACATGAAACATTGTTTTTCCAAAGCATAAAGCCTAAACTAGCATGCAAGGCAACATTTGAATCATAAAAATAGTTAGGAGATTACCTTGTGTAGTAGCTCGCTTGTCTTTGACCTTTAGGAGCCTAGCACCTCAAGTGTGCCGTCTCAAATGTATTATAACAAACCATGAACAAGAGAATGGAATTGAGAGAGAGGTTGGGAGATCAAAATCGGATAGCCACCACTATAATATACTTGTGTGCCAGTTTTAGGGGTTAGGGACTTCTTTATAGCTTAGGATTACAACCATGCAACCCCTAATGATTCTTCATATTTCTTAGTCTTTTGTGCTAGTCCTTCTTGGACTTTCACATAGGTTTAGTCCAAATCTAATCAACATGAGTCATGAGGCCAACTAAAAGTCTTACTGATTTACTTAATCCGTCCCTGTATCTTTAATTATTTCTTTTGATCACTAAATTAATACCAAATTAATTCTTGATCAATATTAATTAAATAATGTGATTCCTCAATTAATATACTATACTTATAATATATAAATAAACCACAATAACCTCTTCTTCAAGTATTGATCCTATCAAATTGTTCCAGATTGTTACAACCCAAATGGACCATACTATTATCGGGTCAAGTACATACCAATTATAGTTATGGGCATAGATACCTAATCCAACAGTCTCCCACTTGGATAAGTCTAACAACTATAATTGCCAATGTTCTTAAAAAATTGTAACAACCCGAAATTTGTATCACGGTTGTAACCCTTTTTGTAACTCATCTCGATAATCCAATCGCCGTTTCCAATTTCGTTTACGATTCCATCATTTAATTAAGTCATTAATGTTTATTTTATATTATGACTTAATGGGTGTCCTAATGCCTTTAGAACTCATTCTAACATCTCATATTAGTGATCGGAACATTTCTAGAATCAACCAAATCGAGTTACGGAAACTTAATCGGGTGCGACCAAAAGCCCCGTCTAACGCCGGTATCGGGTAGAATTCCTCAGTGTCTAAATCCCGAACACAATTTAAAGTGTTCTAAGCTTCCATTTGAAGCTTTTTCTTCATCTCCCAACTCTCTCTCTAACCTCTCTCCTCATCCAAGATTTAGGTCCAAAATCAATGAATTAAGGCTCCAAATCATAGAGGTAACCTTCCTAACTTGTTATTCAACCTCATAGGCCTTTAAATCGGTGTTTAAATTTTAATTTTGGACCTGGAACATGTGTTTACGGCCAAGGAGCATGATTGGGCCGTAAACACATAATAATGGGGTTTTTAAGCACTTTAACCCTTCCAAACCAACATTGGGACTTAGATATGACCTTAAGGCTTACAAACCCGGACTTAGAACACCCTAGACATGGATTTTGAGGGAAAAATAGGAGTTTACGGCCAAGGAATGTGCTTGGGCCGTAAACTCCTCGTTCATGGGGAGTAAACTCT